GTGCTTGTGTTCCCTGGAGGGAGGGGAGGTACCAGGCCTGGAAAAGCATCTGGGAAGGCAAAGCTGTGGGGTAGAGACCATGTCAGAATGACACTGGGGGCAGATCCCTGTCAGTGCTTGGTTGCAAGTGAAGGAAGTGTATTCACCGGGTAGAGATGCTCTGAGAGCACCTCTGGCATGCTGCATCCACGGGGATGCAAATCCTTCCTACAAATGCTAAAAGCAAAAAGCAGGGACCAGTCTTGCTTTCGAAGGAATATGGTAGGAAAAAAATAAATCCAATTAAATGTCCAGGATTGCGATGGGAATCCTATAACCTTTCGACTGGGCATGACATGAAGAGCCTTTTCCTGTTGGCCCAGGCAGTCAGAGGTGAAGCTGGGAAGGGGTTATTATTTCCATCTGTGAGGCAGATTAATTCTGAGGACTTCTAACTTCCCTTGCGAACGGCCTAAATTAATGTTTTAGGATTTTAGTCCCTGCCTCCTCCCACCCCCCCAAAGGCCAGACCCTGGAAGTGCCATTATGCTTCTGTCAAAGGGGCTATTTCTGGAATTGATGATATGAATGAAGCCTAAAACTCCGCTCTCATTAAAGTCTGCAGCTTATCCCGGTGTCATTCCTAAGCTGGTGGGACTCTGTGACACTGCAGGGGAAGGCTGTCATTTCAACCCAATTTTCACATCACATTTGCACAAAAATTTCCAGGCCTTGCCAGCACTTTCCACACATTTGTCAAAGCTCAGCCTCTGTCCCAGTGAGTGAAGGCTTCGCCTGGCATAAAAGCGATGGCTGCGGGTGGTGATGGGGAGCCTGTTCCTGGCTGTGGCTGTGATTCCTGGTCTGAATGACCATTCCTTGCCCTAGGAAACAGGCAGCAGAGCCGATGTGTCACCTGGCTGGATCCAGGCATTTTGATGCATTCCTATGGATGAATTTCATTGCAGGATACAAGCCTGCAGCCTCTGGTGCTGCAGGGCTGTCCTCCCCCTTGCCCACAGAGCCCTGCTCCCATCATGCTGGCTGTGCTTTTGGGGGCTCCCACCCAATCTCACAGTGACAGCAGGATGGCAGCATGTTGCCTTGGAGCCGCTGTTTCGCTGGAGCACCAGCGCTGCTTAGGGAGAGTGGGAGGAGGGGTCAGGGAAGGAGAGAGAGAGATGACAGGGAAGGAGGAGAGGAGGAATGGTGGGAGCTGCCTGAGAGTAGCAGAGCACCCAGGGAAGACATAAATATTAATCCCATGGAAGAGTATGTATCCCTATAAAGCATCACCAAGCGCTTTTCTCCGTACGTGGCTCGGTCGTTGACATGAGTGCTCGGGCACCCAGGGAAGGGACCCCCATCTCTGGGGTCAGGTGGTGCTCTCCCCATTCCCAAGCCAAATAGCCTGCTGGGAGCAGTGTGTGCACTCCGGTTCAGTGGAGACAGCCCGGGATGTGGATGGATCGAGCATTGTGCCTGCTGTCCTCTTGGTAACCACTGCCCTCGAGCAACAGCTCCCGATTTAATTCACTTGCTGGTGAATTTGATCCAAACTTCTGCAACCAAATCATAGCGAGCGTAATGCAATATCTTTTTCTTTTAATTATATTAAGCTGGGGAGTGCTGGCTAATTGCATCTGGGGCTGTTGCCTCTTAATTACGAAAGGTCAGACGCTGCAGAGCGCGGGCAGGTGGCAGGGGGATCACTGGTGGTGGGAAGGGCCTGAGGGCTCTTCTCTGTGCAAAGGCTCCTGCTCGTAACAAGTGAGTGACTTGTGGAGTTATTTTCTTTTTTTGAGGGGGGCTCTTTATCTTATGAATTTTAAGAGTCAGGTTATAACAGAAGTGTTACTGTGTATTTCTGTGTGGCAGAGGTGTGTTTTTTTTAAAGAATCTGCGAGCAGTTTGGCTGCCTGCCTTGACCGAGTTGATGGTAAAACTGTGGATTTTTGAGAATACACTGGGGTGAGCAGGTGACCCTGAAAAGCAAGGGGTGTCTCTGACACCCATGGAATGGAGCAGATGGGGTGATCACCTGTTGTGTGCACGTGAACCCCATTATGAATTTGTTTTTAATATCAGCCCTGCCTGGCATGAGGAGAGGGCAGGACCCCCAGGGCCAGGTCCAGTCTCAGCTAATATTTATCTCATGCACTGAGGACTGTGGGGTCAGCTTGGCACTGGGGAGGTGGCAGTGCCACCACTGCCCCTCGCCTTGAGTGACTTCCTCCTCCTTCTTGCCTGATCTGCTGGTGCTTCCCAAAGGCCCTTTGCCCCTTCCCTGCCTGTGCTGCAGCAATGAGAGGCATTCAAAAAAGCACCTTCTACTTTTGCTAATTGAAGAGTTTCCCTTTGTCAGCCTCTCAGCTCAAAGGAGGGTCGGTACAAAGCTATAGCCAGAGGCACTTTGTGTGCCTCTGAAAATCCCATTAGCAGAAGAAAGAGCTTGAAGTTTCATTCAGCTGGAAAAAAAAAGAAAGAGGGCAAAAAAATAAAATAACACCCTCCAACCTTCTGATCTATCAGCTGCACATTAACATACTGCCCTCGGCACTGCCGGGGTCCTTGTCCTAGGAATATTTAATCAGGCTGAAGTGTTATATTGGACTGAGATGTATGTGCTTGAGGGAGTGATATGCTGATAAGTGGGTATGCAGTTAAAGCTGGGGAAAAAAACTTGCCATCAGCAAATAAATCCCCGTCCCACTCTCTGGGTTCCCTTCCTTCCCCAGGTTGTTTTCCTGCCTGCGAATGTTTGTTCCTGCAAGAGGAATTGGAGTGTGGGGAGGCAGAGATCAGCCCTGAGATGGGAGCACAGACAGAGCTGGGGGGACAGGATGGGATCAGGGGACCTTCAGCATTGCCGGGGTGGGCAGTTTGGGGGGCCCATGCCTGGGACAGAGGGTGTTTGGGCAGGTGGGGGCTGCCTGCACCACGGGGACCCTCTGCTGGGTGTATAGAGCTGGTGCTGATCCCCACATCTCCCTCCTGGCCACACTTCACACCTCATGTGTGGCAGGTTGTGGCATCTCGGGGGCTGCACTCTCCTGTCTACCCTCGGCTTGTAATTAGTCACTGATGATGGTGCCAGCAGGCTAATGAGCATTGAGTGCCACCCATGGCTTTGCTGTCTGTGGTGTGCCAGAGGAGGACAGGGAGGGTACCAGGGGTGCCATCCCATGCTCTCCTGCCGTTTCAGCCCTCGCTCAACCCCCTGTGCTGGACACTGGGCTGCACACTTTGGCTCTGCTCTGCTGCCCTGGGTCTTGGAGAAGATGAGATCAGTGTCTTCAGACCAATGCACATTATGGTTGTGTGCCCATCTCTGCTTGCTCTGGAGCTTGCAGTCCCCAACCAGCAGCAATTCTTGCCCACCAAGGCAAAAGCATCACCAGCTGGGATAGAGCACACAGAGGAGAGCCAGGCACAGTTGCAGGGTCTTCTCCACTGCCACTTGCATGAAGCTTTGCCTGTCTGGGGAAGTGTCCATCTGTCTCTGCAGGTTTTGACCTAACCAAGCTGGCTGCTCCTGAACCTCCTCACTTCCCTGCTGCATCTCTCACACAGCCCATGCAGACACACACTCCTTCTGCCACTCAGTTGGGCTCTTACAGGATATTTTTTAAATTCTTTATGTTCTCAAGGGCTTTGCACTTCCTTGCTGGCAGAGCCCTGGATGTGGCTGGTTCTGCTGAGGGATGCTTCCCAGCCCCTCAGGCCAGGGAATGCCTGTGGATCCCCCGCAGCTACTGCCCCCTCCTCTAGCTGCCCTCCTTGCTTGCCCCCACAGGACTATATTTGGGCTAAATATTCCAGCCCATAGCCCCAACCTGACAGTTGGAATGTCTATCCCGATATCTTGTAAACATTTCTTCTGATTAAAAGATCCAGATTGCCGACGACCAAACCGTGACTCAGCCCCATGTGATTTCCCAGGAATTCACCCAGGATGGGTGGCAGGAGCTGCCAGCTCCAGCCCTGCAGGCCCAGTGGGGAGGCACCTGCTGATTCATCCTCACCTTCTTCTTCCCCAGCCAGATAACGCTACAGCACGGGCTCCCAAACACCACCCGCTACCGTGTTGCAGTGAAAACTCTTGTCTGACAAGGGCCATGCTTATTTTCCTAAAGCCTGGAAGCTGCTGCTGGCACCCAGGCAGGAGCATGGCCCTGCTGCCTGTGGTTTCTGGCAGTCGATGGGGTGTTTTCCATGTTAGGCTGGAAGATAACCCCGGCACCACTTTGATCCTGGATTTCCCATCTCTGTGTTCCAGGCAGCCAGGAGGTGTCTGGAAACACCCCCTAGAAGGATGCAGGAATTGGGTACCAGCTTTGAACCATCCCTGTGGGGATGTGCTGCAGCAGCACATTTTATTCTACCCCAAAAGCAATAGCATCCAACATCTGTCCCAGTAGCTCAGCTCTTCAAAATTGCTCTGAGAGGCAGCAGACAGGGTAGGGAATAGCTCTGCTGGCCCTCACAGACTTAAAAGCTTTTAGGCAGTTTGTTAATGGTTTTGGCAGTCTTAATTTGGACTGGGAATGAAAAGTTCAAGAAGTGGCTTGAGGGAAACGCCTCTGGGATGAGCTGTGACATGGTTAATAGAAATTGTAATGTTGTTAAAGTGCTTTTCTGTAAAATGCCAGGAGAGGAAATTAACAGTGTGGGGTTTTTTAGTTGGTTTTTTTTCCCTAAAAGTTGATATCGTTCATTTAATTTAATTTTTTAATCCATCACATCAGCACTCAGCACTCTTGCCATGCAACTTCCATTTTAGAGTGGTTTTCACATTAGCTGTAGCCACTGATGTCACTATGGGGATAACACATCATCACTTTGCTGTGCAGGTAGCTAAACATGCAAAACCAGGTAAAGCCTAACCTAGGGAAGCTGGTGCACTCCTGGCCTTAAAGACCAGGATAACCTTTCTGATTCAGTGGTGGCTGCTCATGGCTGCTGCTCTGGGTCTGTTGTCTCCTTGACGGGTGCTGTGCAGGTGGTTTGAGAGGGTCAGCATGCTGGTGATCCTGCTCAACTGTGTGACTCTGGGCATGTTCCACCCCTGCGAGGACATCGCCTGTGACTCGCCGCGCTGCAGGATCCTCCAGGTATGGCCCAATGCTGCTGGGAGTGTAACAGTGACCTGATTGATGTGGAGTGGGAAGGACCAGGCTGGCTCCAGCCACAGAGGAAGTGACTTTGTGTCCCAGGATGACCCTGCACTGGCTATCCTGTCAGCACTTGCAAAATGCTGGTTTTGGTAATCATATGTGGACACACACTGTTATCAGGCAAAGCTCCTGCCAGGCTGTGTTAGCCTTGCTTGGAGTGCTTGGGGAGGGTTAACCATCTAGTGTACAGTGAAAGCAGAGCCCAAAATGTACTTGTCCCTTTATCCTGGCATTATGGGTGCTGTTGGGCCATCTGGGTTGGGAGAAGACACAGCGCTGCCCTCAGTGCAGCCTCTGCCCAGGGATTTAGCTCTTGTTGGTGCCAGAAGAGACCTTGTTGGACTTAGGTCTCTAATTCCTTCCCCTTGTGCAAGTGTGCAGGAGCATTCCTCCTCCCTTCCTTTCTTTTACAGAGCTTTGATGATTTCATCTTTGCCTTCTTTGCTGTGGAAATGATCGTCAAAATGATTGCACTGGGGATTTTTGGGAAGAAATGCTATCTGGGAGACACATGGAACCGCCTGGACTTCTTCATTGTCATCGCAGGGTAAGTCTGGTGTGGCAGGTCCCATTCTTCTTGTGCCTGTGTTGTTATTTATGGCGCTGCTTGGCAAGCACTGGATTTGGGGGAGTGGCTGCTTTGCAGTGGTGAATGCTGGGGGCACCAGTGACATTGGTGTTGTCCATCCCAGCTCCACAGCAGGGATCACTTTCCAGGCTGCAGCCTCTTCTTGGGTCCTCTCTGTAGCTTGAGGGAGAGCTGGGGCTAAACTTATGGAGAGAGCAGGGGAGGGTGACAAAAGTTGTTTGTGGTGGATTTTGGCCAGCCCATGCCTTGGGGCTCCTTGCTGGGTGCTGGGCTTGGCTCCTCTCCCTCCAGCCCACTAGTGGTTTTGGTTTCCATCGCTGGAAATGGACAGTTGGGATCACAGAGCAGTGTGCCAGGAAGGGTCGTTCACCGAAAGTTGCATGATTTCCCTCATTATGATACCTTTTTTTTTTTTTGAGGGAAAGCAACCAAGTTTGCCTTTTTGAGTGTTTTCCTTTCAGAGGCACCTGGTTTGAATTAAAGGCTCTTCCAGCACCCGAGAGTCTCCTGGCAAAGGCTGGAAATCCACATGAAAAGTCCTTGGCTACCAGCCAATGAGCTGAGTTTCTTTGACACACGAATCTCTCACTGGCCCTTGCCTCCCCTCCCTGCCTCAAGAGCCCCAAGACCTTTGGGAAAACAGTGGGTTTTCTCCTTTTTCGATAGAGCTAGAGATCAAATTTACTGGATTTTCCTGGAAAGGAACAGGGGCCCTTCCCAGCTTGTTTGAATAGCATGGGTTTGGTGTGCCCCAAGAAGGGGCAGCACTGTAGTGAGTTCTGCTTATGGTCCGTTGCTGGCCCACAGGGACATGGCACATGTCTCTGCTGGGGAGCTGGGAGAAGTAAAATGGTGGCCCAGTAAAACCAGTAAGGTGATGCCAGGTCTCCCACTGTATCCTTGGCCTGGGAAACTGATTGTTGTAGAGATCAAAAGATGCAGTGAGGCTCAGACCCAAAGTGGGGTCAGAGATGGAGGGCAGAAAGTCCAGGAGCTGTAACTGTCCCTGTAAACTAAACCCATCTTCTGCTAGAGGCCACAAGCTCTTGTTTTCCAGCTCCATCAGCCTCTGGCTCCTCAGGTTAGGAGAGAGCTCAAAGTTTCCTTCTGATGTATCTGAGCATTGTTAGGGGTTGCTGCTGTGGGATATTGGACAAGTTGAAATTTTGGGTCCAGTCAGGTCTGATAGGGTTGTGAACTCCAGCAGCATAGCCAAGGGCTGAAGCCTGCTAAGACACCCTTGTATTCTTTATTTCTTCTAGTTTATTGTGTCTTATTCTGGAATTAAGTTTGATGAGGAGTCCGACCCAAGCAATGCCAGACATGCCACTTAGGGAGCCATGCTTATGGATGCTGTGCTACTCTCAGCTCCACTGCCCTGGGGTGTTGCTGCCTTGCCCTCCCAGCCTGGTTCTGACTTTGCCTGTTGAGCTTGCAAAGCCTTTGGAGGTGGAGTTATCCCTCATGTGCTTCTGTGGAGATTCCACCATGATGGGACCTCACTCTAGAGGCACATCAGCAGAGACAATCCTAATTCCTATGCCAAAATATCACTACTTTTTGCTTAAGCAGGCATCAAACCTCCTGCCAATCTACTGCACCTGGGTGAGTGTTTGGGTGTGTGAGAGCTGCGTCCTTCCCAGGCAGAGCTGGATCATGGCACTGACCCCTGCTGCAGCAGCTGCCCCTGCATCCCCGATGTGTGGAGGCATTGGTTTGCTGCAGAGGTTTTGGCAGCCTGACCGCTCTTGTGCCTCCTGCCAGGTCAGCTTTGCCTCTTGCTAAATGATGGCTCTTTCTTTCATGTGCATGAACTGTTCCCATCTGGGTCCTGTCAAAAACAATTCAGCTGGGAAAGGATCGAACTGGATTTAAATACAAAGTGGAGCCTCTCCTCCCCTAGTGCCTGCTTTCTCGGCTCTCTTTTGTGCCCTTGTGCTCTCCTCCAGCCCTAGCCCCTCCATCCTGCAGTGCTGCATCCTGCTTGGAGCATCACTGCAGTCCTGGAGGGTCTGCTGAGTGCCAGGGAAAGCTGAAGGGACTGCAGGAATGGGCAACTGCTGTAGCAGAGAATAAAGTAAGGGACTCAAGTCCATTACTAGACCCAAGACATAGGTAAAAAGCACTGTGAGACATGCAGTATACCAGGGCTGTACACTCCCATGGGCACAGCATACATAGAAATCCTTTGCAACCACCACCAGTATAGAAGAGGCTTAAAAAAACCCAAAAAAACCCCTTATAGTATTTAATCTTCCCCATTCCTTGGGAAGCTTGTGGACCTGACAGAGGTTGTCATTGTAGAGAAATGTTTTGGAGTATGTTTGCCCCAAATCTGCCACTTGGGAGGGCTGGGAGAGCCACTCGGGTGCTGTGCTCGCTCCCACCGTAGTGCTGGCCACTTCCATGGGATGCCATTAAGTACTTCTCAGCTCTGTTAAACTGTCCAGACCAATCTCATGAGCTCATGGAGAGTAAATGACTTCTTTGTGACAATATAATGCAATTAGTGCTAATTGTAGAGTGTGTAATGTCTGCAACACATCTCTGTAATTACAGTAAAACTTGCTGGAGATGAGAATAGCACTGTATTATCAAAACTCTGCTGGGTGAAACACGGATTTGGCTGTAGGTTACAGAGTTGCGTGGGGAAAAGGGGAGAAAAAAAAGGTGATGAATGGCATAATTATGTTGCGTTATTTTGAAAGGAGAGGATTTGGGGAGTTTGCTTGTAAGGGAACACTTGAAGGTTAACAGGCATTGCAAGCAGTTCTTGCCCTCTGAAGATGATTCAATGTAATTTTGACCTCTCCCAGACGCAGATGTATCGAGGATGGATGCTTGTTTACATCCAAAGTATGCAGAAGTGTTTTCAGTGTAGTGCTGACTGAGGCTCAGGCTGGTGAACCAGAGCTGTGGGATGGAGATGTGTCCTGACTTGATGTCTCCCTGGCCATTACAGGGCCTAGCACCCACTCCCCTCCGGGCAGGGTGCAGGGACCTCTCCTCTCCTCTGGTCGGGAAGGTGGAAATTGGGTAGCCACAGATCAAGATCTCCCTGCTGCTCAGCTGGAGCCAGTCCCAGCATCACACTTTGCTGCAGTCTAACCAGCTTGCAGGACATCAGCTTGTTTTGGCTTTGGTCAGATAAGGACTTCCTGAATCTCTGTATCTTTATGGATTGAATTGGGCTTTAAGCCATCCTCATCAAAAACCCCCATGATGTGATTTTGGGGTTATCCTGTTGCAGGACCAGGAGTTGGACTCTGATCCTTGTGGGTCCCTTTCAGCTCAGGAGATTTTGTGATTCTATTCTATGATTCTAACCTCAAAAACAAAAATCTGCAGTGGTTAATTGTTTTCCCAGGACTGAGCTTTACACCAGGGGATAATCTGGTGTTGTAAGAGCTTACAGGGGCTCCTCTTTGCCTTCTCATGCCCACGTTCCTGCTCCCCACCAAGCAGGACTGTGCATCATTCCATGCTGGAGCTGTGCAGGTCTGTGGTTACTCTGGGCTCACTCAGTTGTTTGGCTGAGGCTGTGGAGTCCTTTTTGTGCTTTGCTCATTGTAATGGTAAAAAGCCTCTTCAAAGACTTTGTAGGAAAGTTAAACACTTCTGGAATATTTTGCTTACAATTGGTGAGGAGCTGAGGCTGGAGGTGGTTGGCAGGCTGCTTTCCTCAGGAACAGAGACTCTATTTCTTTCTCTCTTTGCTTCCTGAACACTTCTTCTAATGCTTGTTATGATTTTTCTCCCTCTGTTGAAGGCTATATAAAACAGTGATCTCTGCTGAAGCCTTCATAAACAACCCTTAAGGATTTCTTACTCCCTTCTGCTTTTGAGTGCTGAATTTCAGGGATGAAATATGCTGCAGGAAGCCTTGCTGTGTTCATAGGTTACAGGAGAGAAAGGGATGCTGCAGTCTCCACTCCATCCCTGCTCCATCTAAGTCTGGTTGGGGTCTGAAAAAACCAGGATAAGGGTGTTAGTGTTGCACTGGTCTCCACAGGGAGCTGTGATCCCATGGCTGCAGCAGCCAGAGAGATGCAGCTGGGTGCTCTGGGTGAAGTTTCCAGCACGTGGCCTTCACCCCAGAGTGCTGGGTCGCTTCACAGGCAGGCAGGGCTCCTCTGAAGGGCACTTCAGCTATATGAGGCTGATCAAGGGGCTGTTTCAACTCTCTGGTTCAGACAGAGGGAAGGAAAACGCTGGTGTGGGACTGCCTACAGGAGCCCCTGCTGCAGCCTCCCGCTGCGCCACAGGCAAACGCTGTTCTTTCCCTGTGTGTTAGTCCCTTCATCTCTCAAAACCATGCTGCTTTTTCATCCCTTCTGCCTAGACAGATCCCTGTCTCATGAGGACCAGCACCTCAGGACGTGGCAGCACGGTGCCCTCTGTGCTGCCTGGGCACCCCGAGCGCCGCGGGGTAATTGCCCGTGTAAGCGTTCGATTTGCGCACACAATTGCCCAATGTGCAACCACAGCTGCACAACTTGGAGCTGCAGGGAAAGCTGCACCAAACCTGCTCCCAGGAGCCTGGCCCTCTCTCCTCTGAGCTTTCCTGGGAGCTGGGAGCCTCCTCCCAGGGCCCCAGTGTGTCCTGACGAATCCCAAATTAGGTGCTTTTTGCTCTGAGTGGAAGCACCAGAACCACATCCAGCCAATACTCATGTTGACAAACCTCCAGGAGTTCAATATCTGGGGTTGAGTGTTGCAATTTAATGCTTGAAGTTACTTTTAGGAGGATGAAGAATGGCCAAGACCTGGGGGTTGACAAAACCCATGGCTGCAGATGCTCTCTGCTCTGTGTCACCTTCCCACAGCCTTCGGAGCAGAGCATCCCAAGCAAGCTGTGTCCCTGACTCAGAGAAACCTGCTGGGTAAAAGAAACCCCTCAGCAACCTCCCTCGCAGCTGAGCTGACTCAAACCCACCTGTGAAAAGCCTTGGGTTTGTAAGTTTTAGGACTTTTAAAAAGATAATTGTTTAGTTTCTTTCAGTACTTCAGCTGAACTTGCGGCTGCTGCTTCAAAAGCCTCATTAGTCAAGTGTCCTGGCTGGGACACATGGTGCACTTGGATCCAGCAGGCTGCAGGGTTCACACTTTCTCCAGTGCTATTCTTTTTCTTCTGTTCAGCTTGATTAAAATGAGTATTTTTAAAATTAAGCAACACCCACGAACGCGGTGAGACTTGTGAGGCTCAAAAAGCAGCCCCTGAGTGAAGGCAGAGCACAGCCAAGCTGGTGAGAGCTGGGAGGAAATTTCATTCCAGCTTTCTGAAGATGCAGTGCTGCCTAAATAATTTCCCCTTGTGTTTTCCAACACCAATGGCTTAATATCACCCAGTGATGGCTGTGCTTTGTAGATAAAGGGTGTCTATATGCCCAGTTTTGGAAGCTTTTTAGCACTGAATAAATCTGAGCCTATCTCTTGTCGGCAGCACAGTGGCTCTGTGCAGACAGAGGGTGGGCAGCTCTTGGGGGTGGCCCTGCCTGGAGCCATTGCTGCTTTGCCACTGGTTCCTTGTGTGACTTTTGTCACATCCCCTGGCTGTACAACATCCCCGCACCCAGCTGTGAAAGGGGAGAGTTTTCCTCAGAATGCACCCTCAGCACAAACACCGTGTGTGACAGTGCTCAGTCTTCACACCATCTTCTATTTCCTGAGTAGGAGTGATCCCAGGGATGGGAGCAGAGTCAGGGCGAGAGCAAGGTGATTTAGAGAAGCAATGCTGGCTAGGTGTGGGAAGGACTTTGCTGGAATTTCTGTGCTCTGTTAGAGGCTGACTGGATAAGCACAGCCCCTTCAACCTGTCCTGTGATGCCCTGAGCATTGCTTCTGTGAGCCCTTCAGCGCAGGCAGGGGTGCTGCCTGGCACTGTGCTCACAAGATCCTTTGGAATGCTTTGGGTTTTATATGAAAGAAACCCCAGCATGCTCCTAGCCTTGCTATTTCCAGGCAGGAGGGAAATTAATTTCAGCTGCCTGGTCCATCCTGAGCCATCCCTTGTGTCTGTCTGCTGAGTCCTGGGAGTTTTCCTGCTTGGAGAAGCATTTGCCAAAGGTTTGCATCAGCTCCCTCTCTGCATCCCACCACCAGCCCGTTGTACGTCTGGCTTTGCAGATGCTCCACTTTTATTCTTAGAAAGTCCTAAATATTTCCGCTTTCCTTCTGAATAACTCCAGCGATTGGGGGTTGTTCTGACGAGCCTCGGCGTTCGCTGTGAATCCGTCCTATTTAATGCCGAGTATCTTTCTGAGCCTTTAACTTGGCTGGGCACCAGGTTGGTGGCAGTGGTGCTGACAGGCATCATGCTTTCTCCTCTGAACAGAGATGACATTTGAATTGAGGCTTCATCAGGAGCCTTTTACACTGCAGATTTCCAATGCGTAAATGCTATATATGCTGGTAAATGTACCTGTCACCTCACCAGCTGGTGACATCCTGACATTTGCTCTCCCTGGGTATCTTCCCTTGCCAGGGATGTGGATTGATTTCTCCCATGCATCCCCTTACCTTGGAAGGTGACCTTAGTGCTGGGGACTGGTGATGTTCTCATTGGACTTGCTCTTCAGTGACTGAGTTTTAGTGGCTTTTTTTTTCCCCAATACTGGGTTCTCTTAAGGCACCTGAGCTGTTGCTTACCAGCAAGGTATGGATCCTGTAGTCTGTGTCTGGGGCTGAGCTTGTGGTGCTGTAACACTGGTGCTGGTAGCAGTGTCCAGTGACAGAGGCAGGAAAACACCTATTTGCTCTTGGCCTTGGTGTTGAAGTATTTGCTCAAGCCTCTGGGTTGCTGGTTGGTTGGTTTCTTTAAATTTGGCATTATAATTGTTCTTTAGTATGTTAAATCAAAATGCATTTTACAACATGCCCTTTGCAGCTTACACACACACATCTCTGGAAGAGAGTCTGGAGCTGTCATTAATCAGAAAATGATTTGTCGTGGTGCAAATAACCATGGGCTGCTCTGAATTTTGCTGGCAGCCTCTGTTTTAATAATGGATGAAAGAAAAGCTGTGTGTTTGACATGGGCTTTTTACCTGAATGTTGCTAATAATGAGTGAAATTTGAGAGCCATAAAAGCCAGGGAAATCATTGTCCCTCTCCTAACCTTAGCCAAAGTGTGCCCGATGCAGTGAGTCCTGTGTACCAAGGAAGGGACTGGTTTTGTCACTGGGGCCAGGTGGGTTTTGTGGAAATGTTGCCTTCTTCTCTGGTCAGAGGTTGAGAACAAATTCCTTGCATCTGTGTGTGTCTATCCAATGTCCATCCTCTGGGACTGTCCCACAGCTGTGGGTGTCAGCTAAATACAGAGGAATATGTTGAGGTTATTTTGATCTTAGGTATGGTTTGATCATCATCATCCTCAATAGAACCTATTGGATAAAGTGCATCAAGCATGGAGTCATGTATTTGGGGGCTAGAAAGAGAAAGTCTTCTCCATCCCTGGTACCCCTCACCTGCTGAGGGCTAGGAGCAGGCCGAGTGAGTTTGGCTGACTGCAGCAAGAGCAGAAATCTCCAGTGTGCTGCAGCCATGGCAAACCCAACAGAGCATGGATGGATCCTGTGGGATTTCCAGCAGGGAGGGAGGGGAACAGCACCGATGCCTTTGTGCAAGGTGCCAGCAAAGCCTCCTCCAGAAGCTTTGATGCCTAATCAGGTGAGATTAATTCAGGCCAGGGCAAGTGTGGAGAATGTTCGTGACTGGGAAGCAGAGAGCCTGTCTGAGAGATGGGACTGGAAGAGCTTGGTTTGTTTGGCTTTGCAAAATCAAGGCTGAGAGGAGATGTGATTTGTCCTCTGTAAATACATGGGTGGGTAAACATCAGGGACAAATAATAATAAGTAGCTAGAGAAGCTACTTAAAAGACAGCACTGCTGTAAGAATGAATGGATATGAGCTTGTCCTCAATAAATTCAGGCTGGAAGTTAGGCTTCTAACCATCAGAGTCAGAGGGAGGGAAGCACCCAGCTAGATTTGAGATGGAGCTTGATAATTTTTGGGAGAGATTAATATCCTGTGGTTGCCTGCGGCAGTTGGAGCCTGACTATGTGGGGAGCCTTGTGGTCCTCTTCCTTGTCCTTGCTTGGCTCTGCCTGTTCACATATGCTTTTGGGCAGAGCTCTTGGGTCTTCCTGCAGCCAGAGAGCCTGGAGGTGACATGATGGGTGGCCCCACTGCATTTAAGCAGAGGTGCCATAAGCAGAGCGAGATGGTGTTGGGACACCCTAAGGTTTTGCAGCAATCCAGGTGCATCCTAAGGCTAAGTCCTATGAAGGCTGCATCTCCATGTTCTGAGCTGTGAAATAACCCCATCACACACCATGTGGGAGCACTGGGAGGTTCCTCAGCCCATGTTTGCCCCATTTGTTATGTACAAGTGTCATCAGTTTTGGTCCCACCTGCCAATGTCCTCTGCTGGGCAGAGGTAGCAGAGCTCAGTGTCCTGTGCTGCTCATCTCCTGTGCCCCACAGAAGTGTCTGCACCAGGGCAGGCTCCTCTTCTTTTCAGGGCTGTGATGGTGCTCAGCACAACGAACTCAGATTCATTAGAGTATCTGTAAAATTGTTGTTAGAAACAGGGCTGTGTCTGGAAATTGCCCCCTGGAGCGTGCAGGGACTTTCAGCAGCTTCTGCCTGGCCCTGTGCAAAAACAGTAACGAAGCAGATGAGAGAGATCTGTGGCTGTGTGAGCTGGTATATCACATTCTCCCTCATTGACTTTATTCTGATACGCAAACAACCCTTAATTAATTCCTCTGGCAAACTTTCCTGATGGGAGAGATGCAGTAACAAGTCCCTCTGTGAGCAGTTGGCATTTAATGTTTGCTTTATAATGTTTGATAATCTAACATTTCTCCACAAGATCCTTGACGCTGCTCCGTGTTCGTGTCTTTCACAGGATGCTGGAGTATTCCCTGGACCTGCAGAACGTCAGTTTCTCAGCTGTCCGCACCGTCCGCGTCCTGCGGCCGCTCAGGGCCATTAACAGGGTCCCCAGTAAGTCAGATCCTCATTTCTCCCTGTTGATGCAAGATCCCTCTATCTGTGCCCCAAAGATGGAAGAACAAACACAGATGCTTTGGTCTTACATCACAGCTCAAACATTCACCCAAGCCTCGCAGTGCTGGGTTCTACCTCCACTCTCTGAGTTCCAGTGCCTGTCACTCTCCTGCTTTAAATAATATTCCTTTTGACATCTGTAGCATCAGAGATGAGTCAGTAAGATATCCAGGACTGTCATCATACACCTTCTTTTCTCATCTGAAGAGGGTCTGAGGAGGCTGCTAAGGGGAAGGGTTCCAGGTGATAGGAATTGACTGAGCCAACAGCCTTAGCCAGGCAGCACATGTAGAGCGCTCTGAGTCATGCTGCTCCCACCCTCCTGGGCTACTCCACCCTTTCCTGGAGAAACTGGGCTGAGGAAATCTTGTTGTGTCTGGAGATAGCCCCCTGGGAGGTGTTGAGGACCCAAGAGGTGGTCTGTACAGCCCAAACCCCCAATATTTCCAAACCATGCCTGGGTGGAATGGGCAGTGCCTCTTCAGTCCTGGTTTATCAGGTCATGAACGAGGATCTCAGCCCCATTTCAAACAGCAGTGGGTGGCACTGCCAGCTGCAGCATGGCAGCCTAACCCTGTACTTAGAGAGTCACTGGCTATTGCAAGCCCACCCCAACTGCTCCATGTCCATTGCCCCATGCTGGGAAAATCCCAGTGTGTCATAAGAGGCACTGAGCTCTGTCCCTCTTGGATGCTGTACAGATCAGGTATGTAAAGTGTAAGTACAACTGTACCAGCAGCATTGTTTTCCTTGTCCTACAATCCTGGTCATCAAATCCAGCATTGTTTTAGCCAAATTAAGTCCAAGTCTACACTCCCCTATCTGAGCTAACCCAATGCCTTGATGAGAACTAATCAGCTTCAGTTCTTTCTGCCAATGCTGGAGGTGCCTGGGATCTATTTATTTTCCTGCTCCTGACTCTTGAACTTAATCTGGCTTTGCTGCTGCTGTTTCAATCATTACAGAAGCTTCAGAATCCTGTTTGTAATGGTTGGGGGTTTTTTATCTCCACTGCTGAACTGGTGGATAGCTGAATTTATCCGCCACTGTCTAACTGGGGATGTAATTCACTTAATGTGTTTGGAAATCCTGGGTAATTTATCTTGGCTTCTCTGCAATGTAGTTATAGTGGGATAGAAATGTAAGGTGGGAAAAATTAAAAAAGAGCTTTGCATGATGATCAATGCAGTAACCACAGAAAGTAATTTCAGTTAATTAGGAGTTGATGCAAGGTGGTTGTTCCCCAGTAAAGAAGTAGAAGAAAAACGCTAATAGAGGAAGTGTCAGCATCAGGATGAGAGAAAAAGTCTTCCTGAAGTATCAAAGTAAAGGATGCAATAGTAAAGCTTTCTTTAAATAAAAGTCAATATAAGCAAGTGAGAGAATGCAGAACATGGGGAAAGGAGGAGAGTGAGAGATGAGCAGAATATTACAGAGATGTCAGATGAAATCAATTTTTTTGTGTGTAAATGTCAAGTTGAAGTCACCATCAATTTGTCTTTGTTACAGAACTGGCTGTTCCTGAACTCGTGAGAATTAACTGCTAGAGAGAGTCCTGTATTTTAGGGAAGAGAGGGCATTTAGGGTGGATGAGGGGAACTAGGAAGGGGACAGAATTTTGATATATACTGAGTAGAGAAAGAAATATGATTGTGCTAAGGAGGTTGTCAGAGTTTGGTCTCAGGGAAGAAAGGAGACATATAATTACTATAAAACTTTGGAAGAGAAGAGGACTTGAGATGAGGGGCAGGGAAGGTAGGTTGTGTGCCCAGGAGCAGGGCATGCATGAAGGGAGGTGTCTTAGGGGCTTTGGGGGGAAACCAAAGGGGACTGGGGAGGTGTATGTAGGTGATGAGGACAGTGGTAGGAAGGCAGTGGCTCTCAATGGAAGGAAAAGTATCAGTGGAAAGGCAAAGGACAGGAGGACATAGCTGGAATAAGACAATTCAGCATGGACTTTCCCTCTTTGCCTCAGGTATGCGCATCCTGGTGACACTTCTTTTGGACACGCTGCCCATGCTGGGGAACGTCCTCCTCCTCTGCTTCTTCGTCTTCTTCATCTTTGGCATCGTGGGAGTCCAGCTGTGGGCAGGTTTGCTCAGGAACCGCTGCTTCCTCCCCGAGAACTTCAGCATGTGAGTCTGCATGGGCAGCACAAGTGTCTCCCTAGCTTGAGAGAGTCTGTCCCTCCAGGAGACAAGGGTCTTCTCTGCCAGGAAGTCCTTCTCTTCTGTAATGCTCCCTGCTCTTAAATGCCACCACCACGTCTGCTTTTGGGCACAAATGGCCAGAACAGAGCGAGCTGTCACAATTTTCCATTTGCATTTGCAGGCTGTCCTTAACACTCAGCCAGCACTTGGGAACCTCTCTGATTGATAAAAGCCTCCAAAACTCCCCTGAGAATGGGAGTTCAGGCTTTCTAAATTTGGCATATCATTAATGTGTGACCTTTTCTGTGTGGAGATATTCAGGTCTGAATCCCATTCAGCAGCTGGTAGTGTTTATTGGCATGACATTTGTAGTCCCACCTAAACCCCAGGGAAAGCTGATGGAGCTACCATGCATTTTGTGATGCTAGGTGCTTTTCAGTCTCAGAGCAAGAGATTGTCCCTGTCCCAAAGTGTTAATTTTCACAGACTCCTGGATTTTAAGGCCGAAAGGACTGTTGTGATCAAGTGGGCACCCAGGCCCCTGGCCAGCCAGCTTGCCCAATGTAGGACTGTTGGACAGAGGTTGAAATATCTGGTAGCTGAGAGTCCCTTTCAGACCTGAATTTCCATACCTGTTTTCCTACCTGCCTGCTTTTTTCCATCACCTCCCTCCCTTCAAATGCTTGGAGAAGGGCAGGTGACTGCAAACCCTTGATGGCTCTGCCAAACTCTGGCACCCCCATCGCCTTTCATCGGTTTGTTGACTCCCTGGAGTTGTTCTGGCTGGATCCACACCTGGATGGAGGAATCCTACAAGTCCAAAGCCTGTTTCTTGCACACAGCAGGACCATGCTGCAGCTGCTGTGGCTAGGCTGGCTCAGGTCTGGAGCTGGCATGATGTACCTTCTATGCTCTCCTACTCATCTCCTTATTACAACTGCTGCCCCTCTTGTAGGTTGTGCCCTCAAAGGGCTGTTGGGAGAGCCATTACCAGGGCATGTCTCTGTTAAGTAAATGGCAGCAGAGTAGGGGAACTGCTTCACCACCAAGTAAATCCAATAGAGCCACAGGTTTGGGTGCTGTTTAATTGAGCCAGAATTCCAGGGGTTTAGATAAGCTTTGAAGGGTATTACAGGCAATTCTGCAGGAATTAACCAGGCTGAACTAGGCTTAAAAATATCTTTGCGAGCTTTAGTGGGAGTCCTGGCAGCATTAAGGAGATAGTATGTGCAGAGCAAGGAGCCAGTTTCTGGCTGGCCATGGGTTATTTCATCTCCCTGAAGAGAGTTTTTGCCTGGTTTGCTCTGGTAAGGCCACCCTCAGAGGGAATTTAAAGCTTATCTATGGGTTGAGCAGGCACTACGAAGTGCAGAAGAAGGCCTTGTCTCACTCTGGTTTTTAGGAAGCTTGGGAGGTCCTTGTATATAGAGTCTCCCCAAGCAATTCTCGGCATTGACAGGAGATACAGGAGCTTAAACGGACTGATTTCCATCTTACTGCAGCAAAGACATTTCAGAGAAGCCCTGCTGGGTTGAATCCTACTCTTAGTCCCCTAAAGTCAAAGCCAGAGCACTTCCAGATGGAGCCACTCTTAATAATGCAGTCAGAGGAGTTGCCAAGTGGTTGAGTGCACTGCCTCAGTTTCCCAAAGCCCAGTTAGGGATACCATCTCACCTGGTGGGACTGCAGAAAGTCCAAGGGGATGCCTTTAAAGAAGAAAAGCCTGAAGATCCAGAATAACAGATATCAGACTGTGCTGTTGCAGTTGTTACCTTGCTGGATTGCCTGCAGTGTGTAAACTCCACTCTTGTTTGGACTCTTTCAGCCCCTACACAGTGGATTTGGAGCGATATTACCAGACAGAGAATGAAGATGAGAACCCTTTCATCTGCTCCCAACCCCGGGAGAATGGGATGCGCTACTGCAGGAGTATCCCAACACGGAGGGAAGAGGGTCTGGAGTGCACCCTGGATTATTATTCCTACAATGACACCACCAACACATCCTGTGTCAATTGGAACCAGTATTACACCAACTGCTCTGCTGGGGAGCACAACCCTTTCAAGGGAGCCATCAATTTTGACAACATTGGCTATGCCTGGATTGCGATATTTCAGGTGAGCCCTGTCCTGCAAGCTATCACAAGGTGGGCAAAGAGCCACTTCTGCCCCCAAATCCATTCCCAAGGGCTGCGTAATTGCACTCTTAAGGCCTATTTTGCACCATTGAGCACTTATGTAGTAGTGCTCAGGTGCTCAAAGTGTCAGGGATACAATTTGATGCCTGTTTGGAAAATGTCTCCACCTTACGTGCATGAACAAAACCCTGTGCTGAAAGGCTGCACTGGTGTGGGACAGAGCATAATGCAGTAGTGGCCCCTATGTCCAGCTGGAAAAGGGCTGGATTCAGCTTGGGCAGCTGGTAATATGGCTGTTGGCATTGGTAGGAGCAGGATTTGGCTCTTCCGTGTCTTGTACTGCACCAAGACTAACTATGGGCTGTCAGAAATGACCCAGCCAGAAGAAACGTTGCTTGTGCATTTGGTGTTTTGTAACTGAGCCTTGCTGGTTTGTTTTCTCTTCCTGTCTCCACCAGGTCATCACGCTGGAAGGCTGGGTGGACATCATGTACTTTGTCATGGATGCACACTCCTTCTACAACTTCATCTACTTCATCCTCCTGATCATTGTGAGTGGCCTTAGGGAAATCAGATGGGTCCTCCTGGTATTTGAAGAGAGTAGAGTGGAGTGACATGCAGGAACAGAGGAGAGAATACAGTGAATATAAAAGCTGAGGTAGCAAGCAGCCTGCTGGGAGACATGCAGCTTCCCCACGGCGTTGTGCTGCAGCTGCATTTTGCTGCAAACATGAGGAAGGAAAGAAAGATATTCTCAAGCTGTGGTAGACACACTTCTGTTGCTACTGCTTCTACCACTTCTCTCCTTGTGCTCCAAGTTTCTCGCTCTTACTTGCTATCTTGAATTTAAGCTTAAAAGTAGGCAAATTTTACTGAGTCAGGTCTTGAGCACTGGAAGGGGAAGAGGCTGCCCAAAAATTCCCCCATGTCAAAGAACCCAGCTGACTGGGTCCTTGGTGCAGAGGGGATGTTTCAGGAAAACAGTCCCAAACTTCAGAGAGCACATTAAGAAAGGAGGGAAGAGATTACTGCCCACAGCCCACCCACACTTCTCAGCATCATCTGAGACCACCCACAAAGGAGCCAACAAACAGTTTCTGTGGGGTGGACTCCATGTTGGGCTTCATCTATGCAAGCAGAATTGTCTACTGTGACTGGCTGAGCTCGTTGTCTAGACTCCCTTTATCGTCAAGGGAGAAAAATAGGTGCTTTAAGGGGGTGATTCATCTCCTCCGAAGGTAGACATCCAAAATAAATTAGATGCATTGCAGACTTGATGTGCCTATTTCTCTCTTGACTCTAAAGGATCATTAGGTGCCTCACTCAGATGTAGCTGAGATAAGTGAGATGAGTCCTTTTCTTGCCATCCAATTGGACTACGTCCAGCAAAATAGCTTCACGTTGCCTATTAGGTCATTGTGGGGATTTCTGCTCCTTATCAAACCAGGACTCAAACCCTGATGAGAAGGTAGAATGTCATTTAGTCCATGATGCTGTTTCTAGTTCATCTGTTATCTTCCCCAAAAGGGAAACAAACCCTTACTCTCAGCATCCCTGAAATGATGGAGAGGAAGAGCAAGCAGTACTTTTCCAGATGCCATGCGAGTATTGTTAGCAGTGTGTGATAGCCCGTTAGCACGTCAGTAATTCCCTGTGATCCAGCCTGGGCTCTGCAGAAGGCAGAACCTCATGAAACCCTGGTTGGAGAGAAAATCTCCAAGCTGTGGGTACAGACTGCTGATGCCCTTGCGTAACAGTCACCCGCAAATCCCGTTAGCAGGGGAAAGGGATCTGCTCACAAGCTGCCCACACACTGCCAGAAAAAAAACGCTCCTATCAGGAAGGCTCAGTGCATTCATCGTAATGCCACTAATTGTGATAATTACAACCGCTGTCTGCGGAGAGAGAAAAACACCATCTTAAAAGAGCAAAAGCTTTCTGTCAAAATAATCTTCTCTTGTCTTTGATCTCTGACGTCCTCCATGGAGGGTTGGCGTGGGAGTCCCTGTGGCGGCAGCTCAGGGGGTGAATCAGCTCTCCCTCAGCTTGGCTGGTGGTCCCTGCTGGGTGATACAGGGGATGGGGCTGGCTGGGGTTTGCCCCTGGCTCCTTGTACCCTGCAGTGCTATGGGATGGGCATGGCAACCCTGAGGTGGCTGATGGCTCCTGTCCCCTCAGGTGGGCTCCTTCTTCATGATCAACCTGTGCCTGGTGGTGATAGCAACGCAGTTCTCGGAGACGAAGCAGCGTGAGAGCCAACTGATGAAGGAGCAGCGCGTGCGCTACCTGTCCAACGCCAGCACCCTGGCCAGCTTTTCAGAGCCAGGCAGCTGCTACGATGAACTCCTCAAGTACCTGGTTTACATTGCGCGAAAAGGCAGCAAGCAGCTTGTGAAGGCCTATCGGGTGGCAGGTGTGAGGATGGGCTTCCTCACCAGCCCTGAGAACAAGACAGGCACTGACCAGCATGCCAGGAAGCGCCGGAGCAAGAAGAGGTCCTCCGTGCACCACCTCATCCACCATCACCACCACCACCACCACCACTATCACCTGGGCAATGGGAACCTGCGGGCACCCCGAGCCAGCCCAGAGATCAGTGATGTGGAGACCAGCTCACTCCACAATGGGACCAACCGCCTGATGCTCCCTCCCTCAGCACCAAACTCTCTTGGGGCTCCCAGTGCCTCTCCCAGCAACACTGAGTCTGTCCACAGCATCTACCATGCTGACTGTCACTTTGAGCCAGTGCGCTGCCGGTCATCCCTCCCACAGCCAAGCCTTGGCTTGCCAAGCCCAGAGGGGATCCCCAAGAACATCGTGGGCAGCAAGGTGTACCCCACAGTGCACTCCAGTACCTCCCATGAGATGCTGAAAGAGAAGAACCTGGGGGAGGCAGCAGTGGGTGCTGGGAGCAGCACCTTGACAAGCCTCAACATCCCACCTGGGCCATACAGCACCATGCACAAGCTGCTGGAGACACAGAGCACGGGTGAGCTCAGGGCTGAACACTGGTGTGGGGCTGCTTTGCAAAATACAAGCTATGACCTAATTTCTTTCTCTTTCTGAATTTTTGCAGGATTCTTTTCAGTCCATGTTACAGAGAAAGGTGATGGCTTTCCAGGTGAGAGTCAATCTTCTGACCTACCTAATGCCTCTTATAGCCAAAACCAGGAGAGAGGTTTCAACCTCACAGACTTCAAACTTGCAAGAATCCAAGGGAAATGAATGTTTTCAGTGAATCAATTTTCTTTCCAATCCCCATCCTGTAGGGGACCTACTTGAGTTAGAAAGGGACTTTTGAAAAGGTCATGTAGTGATGGGAGAAGGGGAAATGGCTTTAAACTGACAGAGGTTGGATTTAGATTAGATGTTAGGACTAAATTCCTCCATGAGAGTGGTGAGGCACTGGCACAGGTTGCCCAGAGAAGCTGTGGATGCCCCATCCCTGGAAGTGTTCAAGGCCAGGTTGGATGGGGCTGGGAGCAGTCTGCTCTAGTAGAAGATCAAGTGTCTGCTTTGCATGAGTGCTCAAGGGCAATCACAGATACTGAGTGTTAAAAATCTGATTTGCTCAGGAAGCCCATAACAGACATCAAATGCAGCTTTCCTGGTTCAGCGATTTCATATCTTCACCACAAGATGCTCTTTCCCCCTCAGTATTCTGAAGTGTGGGAGTTTGGGCCAGTCTAGTCCAAACATTCTCAGCCTCCAAGAAGCGTTTCTGGACAAGCTTTCCCAGGCAGTAAGTGCCTTTTCCACCCCACTGCAGTGGCATAGATATTTCCAGCCAGGAGCTGTGCAGGGAAGAGACCAAGTCCTGCCCCCAGCCCAGCACTGCCCAGAGACTAAACACACAGAGCTGGGCTCTAACTTGGTTTAGCACTGGGTTTGCATTTGCACTGTTGTGTGCTGCTGTGCAGCAGTTGGGCATATGCATTGTGGATAGCTTCTCCCCTCACAGCCAGCTGGTGGGAATTTTGGGGAATATCCCGCTGGTATTTTCACCCAGAAGACACCTGGCAGCTGCTGTTGAGGGCAGTGTGTGGAGGGGGAAGCTGGTGATTTCAGAGCATCAGCAAACAGTGGGAGCAGGAAAGGAGGCTGCTGGCAGCAGTGCTCCCAATAATTACAGCCTGGAGCCTGCCAGGACCAGGGGAGCCAGTTGTTTCCTCCTAGCTGTAATGGTCAGAGGTATAATGAGGTGTGCTAGTGGTCCTGGGCTGGGGTGGTGTCTGCCTGGGGGTAGCAAAAAGGGGAGAAAGGCACTCAGATAGCCCAGGTTTTAACCTGGCAGCAGCCCTTTTCCCATGAGGAAATGCTGGTCATGTCAAGGGGAACAGCTCAGTGCTAGTAAGGACTTGGGGTTGTTCCCATGGCTGCCTGCAGCCCTGTCCTGGCTGACAGGCTGTTCTCTCCCTGCCCCACTGGCATTTCAGGTCCCTGCCAAAGCTCCTGCAAGATCTCCAGCCCCATGACCAAGCTGGACAGTGGCTCCTGCAACCCCGAGAGCTGCCCTTACTGCCTCACAGCGCTGGCGGGCGAGGCTGAGCTGTCGGACAACGAGACAGGTGACTCGGACAGTGAGGGGGTCTACGAGTTCACGCAGGACGCTCACTACAGCGACCAGAGGGACCCACAGAGGGGCAGAGCCCGGGCCAGGACTGCCGGCCGAGTACTGGCCTTCTGGCACGTGGTGTGCGAGACCTTCCGCAAGATTGTGGACAGCAAATACTTTGGCCGTGGGATCATGGTGGCCATTCTGATCAACACGCTCAGCATGGGGATTGAGTACCACGAGCAGGTGAGTGCTGTCCTGGCAGCTTCTGGGATGTGGGCATGTTACAGGGCCAAGTCTGGCTGCTGGTGAGATGATTTGGGGTGAAAAACCACTGGAAGAATGCTCTGGGAAGGGTCCCAGGATGGAGCAAGGTAGTGCTTTATCCTCTGAGCCTGCTTCCAGCTAGCAAACATCACCTTGGCTGGTACCTGGCTGTGTGAACTCCTGCATCCCAGCACCACCAGGGATGCTCAGCACCATGCATAGACCACCATCACCTGGGCAGCACCAGGTGTAGCCAGATTCTGCAGTGAGGGGAACAAGGAGAGGGAGCAGCCGTTTGCCACCGGGTTGGTGCCAGCCTGGCAGTGCTTGTGGCGCTGCCAGTGGGCTCTGGGGTCGGTGCAGCTGCAGGCAGGGAAGTGTATTGAATTTGCAGTCCCTGGAGAGGAGGTAACAAATGGCTTTGCCTCTTTGGTGAACGCTCCAGCAGCAGCACACTGAGTCCAAAATAGACTCATCGCTGGCTATTCCTCTGCTTGATTATCTGAGTCCTTGCAGGCAAGAGGCTGCCTCTGCTCCAGCCTCTTGCATGCTTGTCACCTAGCACAGCTTTCCCTATATATAGTCATTAAGAAAAGGAGTTGCCACGTTCCTCTTGAAATGTCTCCATAAGGATGACAAGAGCTCTCTTTGAAAGAGGCTTTGCATGCTCTGGCCTCACATGGGTTTTGTGGCTGCTGCTGGGGCTTGCTGGGAGCAGTACCCTCAGTTCTGCCTCAGGCACAGGGTGGCTTGGGGCTGCAGGTGCATGCTTCATTTGGGTTTGGGGTCAAGAGTTTATGAGTGGGGATGCTGAGATGCTGCCAAACCTAGTTAAAGCCCCTTCAGTGCTTAAGGGCTGCCTACTTGGCCAGAGCTCTCTGCTCCCAGACAGACGTGGCCATCCCTGTCCCAGCACCAGTCTTGGCTGGGAACTCGTTGTGTCTCGAGTCCTGGCTGTTCACTTTTCTCCCTTCCTGGCACATTTCATGTTTGCTGAGTTGCTCACGGTTGCACGCAAAGGTGTTTCTCCCACAGCTCCCAGTGGCAGTAGTGGTGGCTGCAGTTTGACTCCAAATTCCCCTGTCCTCCCTTGGCATTAATGCCTCGGTGACCGAATGCCAGGGAGACGTGGCTGTGCTCAATGTGTCCCTTCCAGCCAGCACCTCCTCCCTGATGCCCTGATGCAGTCTGGCTGGCTAAGTGTTGTTTTCAGTACACATTAAACAGCGACACACTCCAAAGTCCTGCAGGTTTCACCTTCATCTGCTGCCCTTGGTAGGAGCTCTGCAGGGAAGCTTGAGTGATTCCACCTTTATTTAATAATCTCAGGAAGATCATCTCCAAAGAAGCTGGGGGGAGGTGGCTCACAGAAACCGATAAACAATTATGTTCCTCCTTTGGCTGAAAGGTGAAAGCAGATCTACAATGTATTTGCTGTGACTGTCCTAGGGGTGGATTGTCAAAGCTTGTTGCCCTTTACTAGATTCATCTTTGGGTGATGCTGGTGTGGGTTCTCACTGTGTGTGTAGCAGGGGAACCATCCCACTGGGGATGGGTGGCTGAGCAAGCTCCCATTGTCAAGGACCCTAAAGGCTACACAGCTCCCTAATTCTTTGTCTTGGGAGAAATAGGGCAGGGGAGTACTGACCTCTGCCCCAGCAGTGGTGAGTGCCAGCAAACAGCTGGATGGGAAGAGGCAGATTTTTGTGGTGGTTTTTGGGTAACAAGGGTGAAGGGAGCTGATAAGCGTGGGGGGACTCCAGACGCTGTGGGTGGTTGCTTTCTTTAACGGTATTTTGAAGCTACTACTGTTCCAGATTCCTTTCTCCCAGGCATTTAGAGGGAATAGCAGAGCTTGTTTTTATTAGTTCATCTACTCGAAGTGGCGGCAGAGAACAGAGAGGTGTTTTTCTGTAAACTCGGGAGGCTTATAGTCGGCAGTTTCATAATCTGACAGTTATGAGAGCAGGAATTAGAGGGGCAAAATACTGGACCAGGACTTTCTGCAGAGATTATAAACACTGAAACGTGATTTTTTTTTTCATTTAGAAGAGCCTTTCCTAAAAGTGCAAGTGATCAACCGCGTCAAATTTATCTTCTCTGGCTGATGTTTGCAAGGACGTGAGGGGGCTTGAAGAGTACTTGACTCCATGACTTTCTATATTAAGCTCTCTGCTTATTTAATGAATGTTTACCTCTTGGTCTTTCCACATGCCACCATAGGCACACTGGGCTATATTAGGGTCAATACTTTCAGGACATGTTTTAAGGTGCCATGTCAAAAACTTCGTATTGTTTAGCAGCCCCTTGGCAGAGGGGAGAAGATGCATTAGCAGCTACTCTGAGAGAGGAAGGATGGGGTGGACATTACTCAAGAAGGAGTCCTGTTTGTCCCCAGCAATGCTGACAGGGATTTAGCAGCTCTGGGACCACCAGAGCATCCTGGACTTCAAGACCAGGAGCTGGTGAGCTGAGGTCCTCATTATAGCTAGGGAGAAAGTTTGGTCTTCTGGAGGCTTGGCATCTCACCTTGGGACAGGCAGCCTGGAGGGACCTGCTTTTCTCCATGCAAGGTGCCTGAAAGACTGAAACAGTCTTTGGGTCACTTGCTGAACAGACTCATCAAAGAGAGAAGGTTCCTGCACGTGCATGAGCCATTGGTACACCTGAATGGGCATAACTGTGTTTCTTCCTCATCCTCCCCATCCCACCCCTCCAGCTGCAACTCCTGCCCTTCTCCTGGTGTCTGGGCTTGGTGGGAGGGAGGCAGAGCAGCGTGAGGTGCTCACAACACTCGCCACGTCGTGGCTGCTGGGCAGCAGTGTGAAATTTTCCATCAGGGAAATGACAACCAGATTGCCGTGGATTATTAATGTGGCTGCTAAATAGCTTGTTTTTCTACAGAGATGAAGCAAAATGCAAGTAAAAACTATTAGCTTTGGGTAGAGGAATATAAAGGTGATTTAAAGGTAGACTCCGGGGGATTTTATATACACAGTTGAACCAATTCACTGATTCGCCTTAGGGAAGCTGAGCCTCTGCAGCACTGCGGGTTCAAACGACTGGGGCTTTGCAAAAGCTTGTTCTGCCATAGAGCAGGAGTAAAATGTGCTGCTAAACCAGAGGGTTTCTGTGCTGCTTTCCCCCCAGCCCTGGCTGTAAGCCAGGCTCTGTTCCATAATGTGCTGCTTTTTTTTCCCTCCAAGTCCTTTCTTGGAGTGAAATGCAAAGGCTTTAGTACAAGGCGTGATGTTGGACTCCACTGCAGGGGAAAGAATTCGGCAAGGGCTTCCTTGAGGAAGGGCTTTGGGGTTTTGTTTTTGTTTTTAAAATCTGGTTCATATTGAGCTGCCTGGCTGTTCCGATTTTCCTTGTCTGAACTCGCATTGTATGAACTATACCCTACATATTCATTTGTTTAAATAGCACTTGAATTTCAGCCGCCGTCTCTGTGGTGTTTTGCCATTGTTAACATAACAAGAAAGAGACTGGAGGGTCCTGCACTGGCCTCCCCAAAGCTGCCGTTGGTTCAGATCCCTGGCTGGAGCTTGTGTGGACTTGGATCTAGATTGATCCAAAACCCTGCTGTCTCTGAAGGAAGGAAGAAGAAATTGGTTCAGACCTGTAGGGAACCTTTTGTTAATTTTTAAAAGCAAATTTGAGAGGTGACAAGGGCGGGACAGCACCCAAGGATGAAAGCTCATCATCATGGGTGGTAATTCTTCATTCATGATGATCATCCGATTTGAGAGGTGACAAGGGCGGGACAGCACCCAAGGATGAAAGCTCATCATCATGGGTGGTAATTCTTCATTCATTATGATCATCCATGGGAGACAATTCTTCAAGGAAGTGGGATGAGGTGATGCCTGGCATCTCTCCAGCATGACTATAACCAGTAGAGTACCCCCAGCTACAGAAAGGTGTTGTAGGGATCCACAAAGTCACAGTGCTCCAAGCCAAGGTGTGTGAACCCTTCTGCAGGAGACAGGACCAGCCTAAGCCCATGACAGTATCTCAAGCTGAATTCCTGGTTTGTCCTGCTGCAGGGGAGTGTGCAGGGTACAGATGATGTCAAGTTGTCGCTGGTAACATTACGATCTAATAGCTGCTGCAGCATGGAAATATCAACCATCTGTGCCAAGGAGTCAAAGGAAACCTTGCTGGCAGAATGCATTAAAGTGTCTATTTATGTAAACAGTCAAGGTGGGAGAACATGGGAGTTGTCTTAATCAGTGTCAGAGGACATGAAATTTTCAGGTATCCAGGATGATGGAGAGGGGAGGTGAAGGGTTAGAAAACCTGTCGGCATGGTGCAACCATTAGGCTGCAGGTTGAAGCATTAATAATAGTCACCCAAATGGTATTTATGTACTTCTGCTTCTGCCTGAATTCAGTGTGCAGGGATGAAGGTAACTGAAAATTATTAGCTGTCATGACACCCACTGATTGATTTCTCCATGTGGGAGGAAAATTGGATTGTTCCATGAAGAAGTGATGTAAAGGAGCTGGGCAGTGGGGATTTAGCAGGCTGCTGCCCCAGGTCTTGGGCTGCTTGAGTGTCCAAAGTCCTGGGCAGACTGGAGAGCAGCAAGTCTGGATTCCTGTGTGAGTGCTGACTCAAAAAACAAGAGCATTTTTGAGATTTTTGGGATCAGAAGCATTTTGCTTTCAGGACTTGGTAGTCAAGAGCATCCTGATCTCCACCAGTTTCAAGCCCAGTTGAACATTTTGCTGCTGGTGAAAGGCAGCTGCAGATTTGTCAGGTGAATGGATGCTGCTCCTTTGACATCCCTATGTGCCAAAATGAGATCTTGCCAAGATCTGGGGATCAGCTGCAACTCACCCTTGTCTGGCTGCATGGGCAACAGCATGTCCTCTCCAGCCTCCATGGCTCCATGCCAGGTGAATCCAGGACATCTAAATTTTAGCTACTTTGTTGTGCATAGATTTGTGTCAGGTCTCCAGGTCAGGAAGGA